ACCTGGTTTCCTCCTGTCAGTGATGTTGGAGGCTTGCTCGCTAACCTGAAGGTCCAGGGTTCAATCGCGGCATAGGTCAAGAGGATACCTTCAGATTTTTCAACCCAGTTTCCCCCTGTCAGTGAGTTAGATGCTTGCTCGCTAACCTGAAGGTCCAGGGTTCAATCGCGGCATAGGTCAAGAGGATACCTTCAGATTTTTCAACCCAGTTTCCCCCTGTCAGTGAGTTAGATGCTTGCGCGCTAAGCTGACTGTTAGGGTTAGGGTTAGGGTTTACTCAACTGTTTTTGTTTTTCTATCATAATTAGAAATAGAAGTCGTAGTAAAGAAAGATCACGAAAACGCAGTCGAAGTCGCGATAGGAAGAGAAGTCGAAGCAGAAGCCGTGATAGAAAAAAGAAAAAAGAATCAAGAAATAAGGATGATAGGTAAGTTCGTTAGATAAAGATACTACCAGGGATTTGAAGAGTAAAATAAAACTGGGAACTTGAAGGTGCACTCAAACTGAAATGCAAAATGAAACCCGAAATTCAAACATATTGGTGAAACAGTGGTAACAGCTAATGAACTTTTCACATGTGGAAGTATATCAATCATAAGTGAGTCAGTGGTATCAGATGTCTTGAAGAGTAAGCATACCCTGCCTGGCACAAAACTGCTCACATGAGGAAGTATATCAATTATAAGTGAGTAAGTATTTCATTATGAAAAGTGGTATCAGGTGTCTAGAACAGTAAACATGCCCTGTCTGGCTCTCAATATTTATATATTATTTTATCAGAAGTAAGAAAGAGGAAGAAGAAGAGGAAAGTAAAGTGAAACGAGTTCCATTGTCTCTAGAAGAAATGTTGGCTAAGAAAAAAGCTGAAGAGGAAGCCTTAAGCAAGGTAAATTCTTATCATAAAGGGTCTTGGGAGCCATGGCCAATGCTTCTGAGAGTTGACCTGATATCATCCAAAAAAAGAAAATCAAAATATTGAGGAACATAGTTATCTGAACCCCCTTTCTTTCCTCTCTCACTTATCTTTGACCCAAACAGGGGGAGCCGCGGTGGCTCAGTGAGTTAGACGCTTGCTTGGTAACCTGAAGGTCCAGGGTTCAATCCCGGCATAGGTCGAGATAATACCTTCGGATTTTTCAACCCAGTTTCCCCGTCAGTGATGCAGGTACGAGGGGCTGACATGGAAAAAGCGTCTAGTCGTTCGGATGGGACAATAAACCGAGGCCCCGTGTACTACAGGCTGTGCACGTTAAAGATCTCTCGACAGTTGGAAATCGAAAAAGAGCAGGCTAATGTTGCTGTCCTGGCAAAATTTAAAATTTTTTGAAAGCATCTTAAAATGGAATTTCTCCCAGCATCCTGGGATCTGCGATGTCTGAGTGAATTCAAGCTCGCTAACCTGAATGTCCATTGTCCAGGGTTCAATCTTGGCATAAATCGAGATGTCCTGACAAAATTTCCCTCATTGTACACTGCATGGCATTGTCCGTCTTCATTAGCCCAATCAGATTGCAGAAAAATAGGATGTAAAACTTGATTTCAGCCCAAATTTTTAACAAAAGAAGAAAGGGCAGCGGAAGCGTTAAAAAGACGTCAAGAACAAGTGGAGGAAATCAGACGGAAACAAGAAGATGAACGAAAGAAACAGATGGACTTTCATAAAGCTGGACGTTCTGCTATGGGTAAGAAACAGTTAATTCATTTTAAAACCCAAGAAAATAAGTCTGCAAAACTTAATGATAAGCAGTATTCTGTGTTTACAAATATCCATGATCAAGAAAGGTGACTATTGCAGTCAAGGTATAAGATGAAGT